CCCCCACAAACACGTACATTTCAACACCTTTTTTTCCATTTGAGAAGAAATTTCTGTGTAGATTTTACAGAAAAACCTTGGCCAAAGGCACCCAAAAAGTATTTAAATTTGGAGCTTTCAAGGACACTGGAGCTTTGGAAGTCAAAAACTTTTACGGCCATCATTTCTTTCTTGTAGGGCCTATATCCATTTCTTCTGTATCTTTGAACAACTGGTTGCATTTTAATCACATTATGATTATGTTTCGCTCGGGCAGACTGGTTGACCCCCCGGGGCGGTGCCACTGACTGAAGTGTCTTTAGGCCATTCCCAAAGGGGAATTTTAAATGGGTTGATTCATCGATGTCATGCTCATAACTGTGCCTGAACTGCAACAGGAAGCTTCTGCTTTTTCTTTCCTAATCCTTACTACCGTTATTTTTTCCTCTACATCTTTTGTATGTTTGTCACACCCTTGTGACCTACTATTTCCGGAGTGCTTTGATAGTCGAAGCAGACTTATAGTGCTTTTGAAGCTAGAGAATTGAGCTGAGTAAGTCTTGATTCCCTGTAAGTAAGGACTTCTCTGTTGACATTCACCCCTTGGCGCTCATATGACCTTATGTAGTTGAGAGCGCCGTAAAACCTCTACTAAAACTAAACTAGCATACTGGTTGCACCAAAATCTAACTCTAACAACTGGTTGAACCGAGGGCATGTAGTTGCACACACGGGGAACAAAGCAAATATTAGGGTATTTCCCTTCTAAAATCTTCATTTGTTTGCCATTTTTGGTACAGGAGTGCAGGCACTGTGTCAGTGTGTCAGGCTCACTTTTCAACCATATGAATCAATTGCTTCTAGAAAAACTTTCCTTTGGCAACTCGAACTCTAACTCTGTTCTAAGGAGTTATGAGCAGCCACCTCAACAAGCGGCTGCAGTAGGGCACTTGACCCTAAGTTCACAAGTGTCCCTACTACATGACATCAAGAGTTACCAAGCTACCGGCCAGTCCCCGTGGTTGTATGCACCCCGCATAATTTAGCAAAATTTGATCATTTTTTGCATAATTTCTGATTATTTTCATTTATCATTCTTTGTTGAAATGAACAGAATCGCATAATTTCACATTTTTGGGCTCAGTTTGCATAGGCCCTACTTTCAGAATTTTTCTTGCATAAAAACGACGGGGACAGACCGGCATGTAGGAAGTCAAACTTCTTAAATGACTTACCAACTTGGAGAAAAAATAAAAAGCAACCTAAGAGATCATCATGATCACAAGGATAATCTACTACTATTAGGTGTGGCAATCAGCGTGTATTACAATTTTATACCCCCCACCTCTCCCATAACGTTTTATTTTTTGGAGAAAAGGCGAGTCCTTTGAAAAGATAAAGAGAGAGAGGATAGAGAGAGCAAAGAATAAAGAAGAAGAGGCAAACGGAGGTTTTGTTGTCATTCTACGACTGTCTTCTCTGAGCTGGACAGAGGGGAGGGGGCAGCTGGCGGGTGGTCAAGATACAACATCGGTCAA